ACGGTAGAGTTAGAAACATACCAGGGGATTCGAATTCAATCCCATCAAGGTGGCATGTACCAATGCCATCTCACTAGTCCCAGTGATCAATTTCTGTTCACAATTGATCATAATGATAGGACTAAGAACCAAAGGGATCACATAAACAAGACTAGTGTCTGCAAATACTAGCTGATAGAATCAAAAAGAGAGAGAATGATCCAACATGGGAAGTGAGATACACAGCAGACCCATAGAATGGCAAATGTCCTAACAGCACTCTGGCCTCATAATCAGCCCTTAAGGCATGCGGATCCAGCTGAAATGCCCATGAGAGCATTTCAGGCATGGAAAGCCAAGACACTCTGGGGGAAATAAAAAAACTAAATGAAAGATCTCCATGAGTGAGATCCCAGTGGAAAGAATGGGTCATCAAAGAAGGAGGTACCTTTCTCTGAAGGGAGGAGAGAACTTCCACTTTGACCATGGCCTTGTCTAAATATGATCAGAGTCAGTGAATTCAGGGGGCTTCCATAGCCTTGGCAGCTCATGACAAGTGCCTAGGGTGATTACTGATGCCATAAACAAGAGTGTCAATTTGTTAAGTCAACAGCAGGAGTCACTGTGCACTTACTCCTCATGTAGGATCTCTGTCCTTAGTGTGTTGTACATCTCTGTCCTTAGTGTGCTATAACTAGTACTCAAGCATTATTTTTCACTTTATGTTTCTGTGTGGGAGCAAACTGTTGAAATCTTTACTTAATGTATGCTAAACTGATCTTCTGTATATAAAGAGAATCGAAAATGAATCTTGATGTGAATGGAAGGGGAGAGGGAGTGGGAAAGGGGAGGGTTGCGGGTTGGAGGGACGTTATTGGGGGGGAAGCCATTGTAATCCATATTCTGTACTTTGGAAATTTATATTCATTAAATAAAAGTAAAAAATAAAGAATGCAAAGCTGGAAAAAAAATGAAAGCTTTAAAAAGATAGAAAATCAGTTTGTGGGGAATAAACACTGAAATAAGAGGATATCTTCTTTCTAATCATGCATTTTGCTTCAATTAGAAAGTAGACAATTAGAAATCACTTTAAGTTTTCAGAGCCTAACTTCTTTGCTGTTAAAAGGAAAAATCAGAATGTGAGGTCCATCTTGCTTGACAACTTTTACCCCATTGATGGACAGGGTTGATTCCGCAGATCTGGCTGGCTAGGTGGTTGTCCCCTTCCTCCCTCACCACTCCATGTGCATTCCCTCCCAAAGATGTGTGCTCTCTCAAAAGAGGATGACCTTCCCCACTATGGAGGAACATTCCTCAGTCAAGGGTATATGAGTAGCAGAGGTCCCTTGCTAGAACCTCCAAACAAGAACTCAAGAAGAAATCAGGCCGGCACCGCGGCTCACTAGGCTAATCCTCTGCCTGCGGCACCGGCACACCGGGTTCTAGTCCCATTTGGGGTGCCAATTCTGTCCCGGTTGCTCTTTTTCCAGTCCAGCTCTCTGCTGTGGCCCGGGAGGGCAGTGGAGGATGACCCAAGTGCTTGGGCCCTGCACCCACATGGGAGACCAGGAGGAAGCACCTGGCTCCTGGCTTCAGATCGGCGCTGCACGCTGGCCATAGCGGCCATTTGGGGGGTGAACCAAGGGAAGGAAAACCTTTCTCTCTCTCTCTCTCTCTCTCTCTCACTTTCTAACTCTGCCTGTCAAAATAAATAAATAAATAAATAATAAAAACAGAAGAAATCATATAGTGAAATTGAAGCCAAACTGAATCAATCACTCAATCAATTCTCTCTCTCTCTCTCTCTCTCTCTCTCACACACACACACATACACCCACACACACACCATGAGGAAACAAAACAGGAGAAATGGTCTCTTCTGCTTCCAAGCATACTCATATGTGAATAAGGTGCCTGTACTACTGCTTGTTCAATTAATCAGAAGATGAAAATAACACAGAGAAGAGAATCCAGTCAATGTAATCTCAGAAAAGTAAAGTTACAGACCTGTGTAGTAGGCTTAATACCTATTTTAACCATGGAATTTATGTGAAACTCTTTTAAGTGTGTATGATATAAGTAAAGCTGGAATAATTTTCTGTCTCTTTAACCAAAAGCTTCATTATATCACAGTATCCCCTTCCCAGCTTAGAAGTAACCCAACTTCCAAAGATTCCACGTGGATGGATCCATCTTTAGTCCTACTGGAACAGGGACACAACCTGGGGCTCATAATTTCTGAATTGTGTTGATTATAAGTCTTCTACTTACACTAACAATATGGAACTCTCATTTTCTTACCAACCACTTGAAAGAAGGGGTAGAAAAGCTGAAGTCAAAGATAGGTTCAACTTTGGTCCTAGAGGGCTATAATATAGAGGAGTAGGTGGAGGCAGAAAAAAAAAAAGTTAAGTGACTTGTCTAAAGTCACTATACTGATTAATAGGTAAACCGAGACTAGAAAGAAGTTCTTATCCTTCTGTTACAAGGCATTATCACAACCAAGTTAAAGCTTCCAGATCCATGGTATAACTGATAGGAGGGGCAAAGGCTGAATGTAAGGGAATTCCATCATACCTGGAAGATGGACATTTCAAATTTTGTCTATTCTGAGCAGAGAGGAAAGGGTCTACTATTTGGAAATAGGGCATAATAAAGCTATTACCTTCATTTTTGGATCTTTTTCAGGTGAACAAATAAACTAAAACATCTACCCTTCTTGTCAAGAACAATATTAGAAAACCTAAACCTGTTTTACTTCTTCCATCTCATTTGGTAAATGATTGCCTTTGATCTCATTAAAAGAAACAATTGTCCCTCAGCATGCAATTCTCATTCCCATAAACCTGGCTCCTTTCTGACCTCTGAAGTCATTCTTGGGAGGATATTTATTTGTCTTTATACCAGAATTGTTCCAGGGCAATAGATGTCCTTTAAGGGAAAAGAGATATTATCCCAAATTACTGAAAACAGAGAATGTCTTAAGTTAGAAATAGTCTAATATTATATGTAAAAATGTATACCCAAGTACTAGATCAACTGGGTTAAAATCCTTGCTTTGCCATTTCCTAGCTGTGTGACCTCACACAATGTATTTAACTTCTCTGTACCTCAGTCTGTTGACCTATGAAGCTGAAACCCTTTACAACAGTACCCACCTACCTATTGTGTGGACTAAATTATATCAAGCAAGGCCGGCGCCGCGGCTCAATAGGCTAATCCTCCACCTAGCGGCACCGGCACACAGGGTTCTAGTCCCGGTTGGGGCGCCGGATTCTGTCCTGGTTGCCCCTCTTTCAGGCCAGCTCTCTGCTGTGGCCAGGGAGTGCAGAGGAGGATGGCCCAAATGCTTGGGCCCTGCACTCCATGGGAGACCAGGAGAAGTACCTGGCTCCTGCCATCGGATCAGCATGGTGTGCCGGCCGCAGCACGCTGGCCGCGGCGGCCATTGGAAGGTGAACCAACGGCAAAAGGAAGACCTTTCTCTCTGTCTCTCTCTCTCACTGTCCACTCTGCCTGTCAAAAAAAATTATATCAAGCTTTGTTGTATGTTTAAATAGCACCTATCCATTGTGTGAATTAATATATATGAAGATCCAGCCTGGCATATGTTATTCACTATATGAGTGTCATCTGTTATCATTGTCTTAAAAATAATAATAGTGATTTTTAGTATGAGTGTTCTTGGTTGGGTTTTATTTTGGGCCTACTAATATTTTTTGTATAATCTTGTATATAAGGAGAGACAGTATTATTTTGAATAAGTTGTCATCAACTTCTAATGATGTTTAGAAAATATATAAGAAATTTTGTTTAAAGGTGGTGGATATATATGCCTCATCTACGGACATCCAATGTTTCTAAAGTTGGTACAAAATAATCTTTTTAATTCATGACTATATTCAAAACAGAAAAAGGAAACTGCAAGCCAGAAATAATTAGTAAGCTCAGGAAGAGAGATAAACGAAAAAAGGTCACTGGGCCAGTGTTGTGGTATAGTGGGTTGAGCCTCTGCTTGCAACACCAGCATCCCATATGGGCATCGTTTCGAGTCCTGGCTGCTCCTCTTCCATCCAGCTCTCTGCTTATGGCCTGGGAAAGCAGTAGAAGATGGCCCAAGGACTTCGGCCCCTGAATCCACGTGGCAGAACAAGAAGAAACTCCTGGCTTTGGATTGGCCCAGCCATGGCCATTGCAGCCACTTGGGGAGTGAACCAGTGGATGGAAGACTTTTCTATCTCTCCCTCTTTCTTCCTGTAACTCTGCCTCTCAAATAAATAAAAATCTTTTTTAAAAAAAAAAAAAAGAGGCCATCAAGTCTAAGGAATAAGTTCAAACTACTGGGAAAAGCAAAAAATATAATGGGATAATAGTATTGATATAAAAATTAAAATTTTTAAATAATATGACTAGCAGAAGAAACAGAGCCAAAGGTACATTGGTGAACTGGATGAACAAACTGATGAATTTGCCAGAATATATCATAGAGGGATGAACAATTAGAATGAATGAAAGAGGAGCCGATGTTGTGGCATAGCAGATAAAGCACTACCTACAATTCTGGCATCCCTTATGGGTGCCAGTTCGTGTCCCAGCTGCTCCACTTCTGATCTTGCTCCTTGCAATTGGCCTGGAAAAAGCAGAAGATGATCAAAGTGTTTGGGCCCCTGCCACCATGTGGGAGACCCAGATGGAGTTCCTGGCTCCTGGCTACAGCTTGGCCCAGCACCTGCTATTGTAGCCATCTGGACTGTGAACCAACAGATGTAAGATCTCACTCTAACTCTTTTAAAATAAATATTTTTTAAAAAGTAATGAATTAAAGAAAAATCAAGACACAGAATAGAATCAGAACTTCCAATATCTGCTTTCTAGAAACTACAAACAAAAGAAAGGAAGAAGGAGAGAGAGAGGGAGAGAGGGAGAGAGGGAGAGAGAGAGGGAGAGAGAGAGAGAGAGAGAGAGAGAGAAAGGAAGGGAGAAAGGGAGGGAGGAAAGTAGGGGGCTGGCGAGTGGCTCACTTAGTTAATCCTCTGCCTGCAGTGTTGGAATTCCATATGGGTGCCGGGTTCTAGTCCAGCTGCTCCTCTTCCAGTCCAGCTCTCTGCTGTGGCCCGGGAAGGCAGTGGAGGATGGCCTAAGTGCTTGGGTCCTGCACCTGCATGGAAGACCAGGAGGAAGCACCTGGCTCCTGGCTTCAGATCGGTGCAGCATCGGCTGTAGCGGACATTTGGGGAGTGAACCAATGGAAGGAAGACCTTTCTCTCTGTCTGTGTCTCTGACTCTACCTGTCAAATAAAAAAAAAAAAAAAGGAAGGAAAGCAGGTTTTTCAAGAAGCAAAATTCAAGGGGAAAAATATGACTCTTGCTCATTCCTAGATTGTGTACAATGAAGGCAACATTTTTAGAGCTACTTATTTATAATTCATTCACTTAATATTTATTCATATTCAACAATGTGTCTACCCAGTTACAAAAAAAAAATGCTGAAAGTGTTGAGAATCTAATAATAGTAATTAATTCTCTTCCCAGAAAATGCACATATGCACCAATTAGATTACAGCTTCCTACATTATTTTAGTAGTTAAGAGCTTGTTGATTCATAATCATTGTATTTTTATTACAGTTTACCTGTTTTGACTGGAGTGGCATGGCAAAAAAACAAGACTACTTTTTTTCCCTACTGAATTGTTCATTGTTTCACAAAAAGTATCCTAGCAACTAATTGTTTGGAAGCATGAAATCATTGAGACCTAGTTTATATAAAACTATTTGGTGAACTCAGGGGCTATTCCATAGTAGTTATGGAATGATCATCTTTCATCAATCAAGTTAAATCGAAATCCATGAAGAATTATGAACTACATTAAACAATTAAAATTGCTAGATTCCTACTAATAGTTAGTAAACATCCCACAGAGAATTTCAGCTACAAAGTCAGAAACCAAAAAAGAAGACACTTTACATTCAAAGTTTTGTGGGAAGGGAAATTCATTGGCAAACTAAAAATAAGGGGCGTGTTCTGGGATTATAATATGTAAATAAAGATTTAACTAATTAATTTCCAAAAAGCACATATATTTATGAATGTCCAAATTCACTTCAGGACATTATTAACTTTTTCACACAAAGAAAAGCTAGAGAATAATAAGAAAGAATTACTGAAAATTAAAGAAATAGAGATAATTTTGAAAAGAAATTTTATCAATAAATGGAAAACCAACCTAAGATCAGTCAAAAGATCAAATATGTAAATGATGGGAGAAAATACTATATTATACATTGGAGCATAATTATAGGACATAAAAAATAACAACTCACTCCAACTGCACAAGACATGAACATGAAGAATTATAATTGCTGGGCTTAAAGTGGTGCCTCCATGTCTTTGCCCTGCTTTTATACCCCAGTGGTCCTAAACATTATATAATAAGGTATATTTTCAGTTTTCTTATCACAACATACTGAATGAAAGGTATGATTTCTTCATTAGTTCACATACATTGTAGAGGCAAAAATTACAATCTATTATGTAATTTTAGATATCAGGCCAGCTGCTCTAAACTGATATGAAGAAAACTGACAATAGGATACCATATGATTTATTTTCTTTTGTTGTCAACCTGTACTTCTGTGAACTCTAGAAATTATATTTATTTGTTGTTTGCTCTTTTTTTCTCTCACAGCTCCTTTACAGGTCTTTTGATAAATTATCAAAATGTTTCATGTGTAGTCTGACTGACCAGAACACTGTAGAAATATGCCAAACTGGGGCCGGTGCTGTAACGCAGTGGGTTAACACCTTGGTCTGCAGTGCCAGCATCCCACATGGGCACCGGTTCGAGACTCAGCTGCTCCACTTCCAATTCAGCTCTCTGCTATGGCCTGGGAAAGCAGTAGAAGATGGCCCAACTCCTTGGGACCCTGCACCCGCATGGGAGACCCAGAAGAAGTTCCTGGCTCCTGGCTTCAAATCGGCACAGCTCTAGCCGTTGCAGCCAACTGGAGAGTGAACCATCAGATGGAAGACCTCTCTCTCTCTCTCTCTCTGCCTCTCCTCTCTCTGTGTAACTCTTTCAATTAAATAAATAATTTGAAAAAAAAAAGAATATGTCAAACTAAATTAAATCTATAGTTGGAATAGATGACTTACAAAGTTAACCACCATACTCAGCATACTCTGTGCATTCAAGAATAGCCTGCTAGGGTCTTCTGTCAAAATCCTATTGGGATTCCAATTGGATTTGGATTTTTCCTGTAAACACTTACCCACTGTAACTTTGTGCCCACTTTTTCCTTGACTTCTTTGATTTAAGTAACATTTAATAGTTATTTATCCTCTCTTGCATTGCAATCAAACTATTCAGACATGATCACTTCGGTGATTTTACTGAGACATAATATAGGTATCTACTCTAAGCTGACTACCATGGAGATATTGTACAGTGTATTTCATTAAACACAAGTCTACTTTATAAGCTACATGTAAAGCTACATGTAAAGCTATATTACTTTATCTTTGTACTCCTTAATTACGGCAAAGCTGCCTTTGCATATATCATTTTCATTGCCATAGGTGGTAAATATTTTATATTCCATTGAATTTATCTTCATCTTCTGTCCTTTTGGCGATAACCATAGAATTCTATCAAAAGCTACAAAATTTAATGTGGAAAACATTATGCTGAGTGAATTAAGCCAGTCCCAAAGGGACAAATATCATATGTTCTCTCTGATCGGTGACAACTAACTGAGCACCAAAGGGGAAACCTGTTGAAGTGAAATGGACACTATGAGAAACAGTGACTTGATCAGCCCTTGTCCTGACTGTTGATGTACAATGTAATACTTTATCCCTTTTAGTATTTTTTTTGTTCTAGTACTATTAGTTGAACTCTGTAATTAACACATAATTATTCTTAGGTGTTGAAATTTCAACTGAAAAGTGATCCCTGTTAAATATAACAGTGGGAATAAAAGAGGGAGGAGATGTACAATTTGGGACATGCTCAATTGGACTTGCCCCAAATGGTAGAGTTAGAAACATACCAGGGGATTCCAATTCAATCCCATCAAGGTGGCATGTACCAATGCCATCTCACTAGTCCAAGTGATCAATTTCAGGTCACAATTGATCACACTGATAGGTCTAAGAGTCAAAGGGATCACACAAACAAGACTAGTGTCTGCTAATACTAACTGATAGAATCAAAAAGGGAAAGAACGATCCATCATGGGAAGTGGGATACACAGCAGACTCATAGAATGGCAGATGTCCTAAATAGCACTCTGGCTACAGAATCAGCCCTTAAGGCATTCAGATCTGGCTGAAGAGCCCATGAGAGTATTTTAGGCATGCAAAGCCAAGACACTCTGGAAAAAAAAAAAAAAAGAAGAAGACCTAAATGCCTAAATGAAAGATCTCTGTGAGTGAGATCCCAGTGGAAAGCACAGGGACATCAAAGAAGGAGGTACCTTTCTCTGAAGGGAGGAAAGAACTTCCACTTTGACTATGACCCTGTCAGAATAAGATCAAAGTCGGCGAACTCAAAAGGCTTCCATAGCCTTGGCAACTCACGACAAGAGCCTAGGGAGATTACTGTCGCCATAAACAAAAGTGTCAGATTGTTAGGTCAACAACAGGAGTCACTGTGTACTTACTTCTCATATGGGATCTGTCCTTAATGTGTTGTCCAATGTGAATTAATGCTATAACTAGTACTCAAACAGTATTTTACACTTTGTGTTTCTGTGTGGGTGCAAACTGATGAAATCTTTACTTAATATATACTAAATTGATCTTCTGTATATAAAGATAATTGAAAATGAATCTTGATGTGAATGGAATGGGAGAAGGAGTGGGAAATGGGAGGGGTGTGAGTGGGAGGGAAATTATGGGGGGAGGAGTCATTGTAATCCATAAACTGTACTTTGGAAATTTATATTTACTAAATAAATAAATAAAATATATAATATAGGTATCTACTATAAGCTGACTACCATGGAAAGATTTAATCAAATTTTGAACCTGATAATTTCCATCAAGTTATAGTTTGCTCTTAGATAAATAAGCGTTAGGTTTTCAAGGAAAAGAAAGTGAATTCTATTTTATTAGGGACAAACTTAGGATGAAGCTTTTTATCAGGAAATTGCTAACAGATCATGAGACCCAAACTGGTAGACTTCTGATACTATTATAGGCTTTTTCTTCCTCAGGTTTATTAATTTTTTAAGGAAAGATGGTTAAGAAACTTTTCCAAATAACAATAACACTAATTATAATGAATCAGTCATATCCCTAATAAGCTTGAGAGGCCAGAATAAACAGAAAGAAAATGGAGTGATCGGGACTGCAAGGATGGACAGAGAGAGGGAGAGACAGACATAAGATTTTGGCCGGCGCCGCGGCTCAATAGGCTAATCCTCCGCCTTGTGGCGCCTGCACACCGGGTTCTTTTTTTTTTTTTTTTTTTTTTTTAAAGATTTATTTATTTATTTATTTTTTTTTAACTTTTATTTAATGAATATACGTTTCCAAAGTACGAATAATGGATTACTATGGCTTCCCCCCCATACCGTTCCACCCACATCCCTCCCCTTTCCCACTCCCTCTCCCCTTCCATTCACATCAAGATTCATTTTCGATTATCTTAATATACAGAAGATCAGAATCGTATACATTAAGTAAGGATTTCAACAGTTTGCTCTCACACAGAAACATAAAGTGAAAAATAATAGATGATTTTTTTTAATGATGATGAAATCAGATCAGACCTATTGTCATGTTTAATCCCAGTGAGAGTCAAGTTGGGAGTTGATAGTTTCTTTTCTTTTCTTTTCTTTTTTTTTTTTTTTTTTTTACAGAGGATCAGTTTAGTATGCATTAAGTAAAGATTTCAACAGTTTGCACCCCCATAGAAACACAAAGTGAAATATATTATTTGAGTACTCATTATAGCATTAAATCTCAATGCACAGCACATTAAGGACAGAGATCCTACATGAGGAGTAAGTGCACAGTGACTCCTGTTGTTGACTTTACCAATTGACACTCCTGTCTATGGCATCAGTAATCTCCCTATGCTCCAGTCATGAGTTTCCAAGGCTATGGAAGCCCCTTGAGTTCTCCGACTCTTATCTTGTTTAGACAAGGTCATAGTCAAAGTGGAGGTTCTCTCCTCCCTTCAGAGAAAGGTACCTCCTTCTTTGATGACCTGTTCTTTCCACTGAGATCTCACTCACAGAGATCTTTTGCCAGAGTGTCTTGGCTTTCCATGCCTGAAATACTCTCATGGGCTTTTCAGCCAGATCTGAATGCCTTTAGGGCTGATTCTGAGGCCAGAGTGCTATTTAGGGCATCTGCCATTCTATGAGTCTGCTGAGTATCTCACTTCCCATGTTGGATCACTCTCCCCTTTATTTATTCTATCGGTTAGTGTTAGCAGGTACTAGACTTGCTTATGTGCTCCCTTTGACTCTTAGTCCTTTCATTATGATCAATTGCGAACTGAAATTGATCACTTGGACTAGTGAGATGGCATTGGTACATGCCACCTTGATGGGATTAAATTGGAGTCCCCTGGTATGTTTCTAACTCTACCATTTGGGGCAAGTCAGCTTGAGCATGTCCCAAATTATATATCTCTTCCCTCTCTTATTCCTACTCTTATGTTTAACAGGGATCACATTTCAGTTAAATTTCAACACTTAAGAATAACTGTGTATTAATTACAGAATTGAATCAGTCATATTAAGTAGAACAGACAAAAAAAACTACTAAGAGGGATAATGTATTAAGTTGTTCATTAACAGTCAGGGCTATGCTGATCAAGTCACCTGCACACCGGGTTCTAGTCCCGGTTGGGGTGCCGGATTCTGTCCCGGTTGCCCCTCTTCCAGGCCAGCTCTCTGCTGTGGCCAGGGAGTGCAGTGGAGGATGGCCCAAGTGCTTGGGCCCTGCACCCCATGGGAGACCAGGAGAAGCACCTGGCTCCTGCCATCGGATCAGTGCAGTGCGCATGCTGCAGCGTGCCGGCCGTGGCGGCCATTGGAGGGTGAACCAACGGCAAAAGGAAGACCTTTCTCTCTCTCTCTCTCTCTCTCTCTCACTGTCCACTCTGCTTGTCAAAAAAAAAAAAAAAAAAGAAAGAAAGCAAGCAAGAAAGAAAGAAAGAAGATTTTTTATCTGCTGTTTCACTCTCTAAATGGCTGCAGTGGCTGGGGATGGGCCAGGTCAAAGCCAGGAGTCTGGAACTCCATCTGGATCTCCCACAAAGTTGCAGGGTGCAAATTCATCGGTCATCTTCCCCTGCTTTCCCATGCACATTGCAGGAAGCTGGATCAGAAGTGGAGCAGCAGGTGGCTGCTTAACCTGCTGTGCCACAATGCCAGCCCCTAGACAACAGATTTCTATGTCTATTTAATAGCCATATGTTCATCAATAATATCCAGGATGTTGCAAATCACCTAAAAGGTGGTTGAGAGATTAAGACTGATGGTTGTATGGACAGGGAGAGAGATTGAAATTTTTCACTGATGCTTTATACCAAGAAAAGAAGGCTCGGGGCAAGCTTTGTGGCATAGCAGGTAAAGCTGCCACCTCCAACACCAGCATCCCATACAAGTACTGGTTCATATCCCGGCTGTTCCACTCCCAATCCAGCTGTCTGCTAATGGTCTGGGAACAGAAGCAGAAAATGGTACAAGTGCAGGGTCAACACTGTCATGTAGTGGGCTAAGTCTCCATCTGCAGTGCTGGCATCCCATATGGGCACCAGTTCATGTCCTGGCTGCTCCTCTTCTGATCCAGCTCTCTGCTAATGGTATGTGAAAGCAGTGGAAGAGGGCCCAAGTGCTTGGGCCCCTGCACCCACATGGGAGATGCCGAAGAAGCTCCTGGCTCCTGGCTTTAGATCGGCCCAACTCTGGCTGTTACGACCATTTGGGGAGTGAATCAGCTGATGGAAAACCTTTCTCTTTGTCTCTCCCTTTCTCTGTCTGTTACTCTACCCCTCAAATAAATATATAAAATCTTCTAAAAATGGCACAAGTGCTTGAGCCCCTGCTACCCATGTGTAAAACCAGGAAGAAGCTCCTGGCTCCAGGCTTCAGCCTGGCCTGGCCACAGCTTTTGCAGCCATCTGAGGAGTGAAAGAGCAGATGGAAGATTCTCTCTCTCCTCTCTCTGCAACTCTTTCAAATAAATAAATAAATATTTTAAAAAGGAAAAAGAAAAAGAAGGCATAGAAGTTGCTTACCAGGGCTGGTATTATGGCATAGGAGGTTAAGTCTCCGCCTGTGGCACCAGCTACCCATATGGTACCAGTTCATGTCTCAGCTGTTCCTCTTCCAATCCAGCTCTCTGCTAATGGTCTGCAAACACAGTAGAAGATGGCTCAAGTGCTTGGGCCCCCATATCTACCTGGGAGACCTGAAAGAAGCTTCTGGTTCCTGGCTTTGGGTCAGCTCAGCTCTAACCATTGCTGCCAATTAGGGAGTGAACCAATGGGTCGAAGACCTCTCTTTCTTTGTTTTTCCCTCTCTCTGTCTGAAACTTTGCCTATCAAATAAATAAATACATCTTTAAGAAAAAAAAAGCAGTTGCTTTCCCAGAACTATATCAACTTTTAGGCTTAATAGGAAAAAAATCAGAAAGATCAGAAATATGGCTGATATGCAGAAAAATTCAAGTTTTAAAGATGTTTAGAAAAAACTTTATCAAAATAATAAATTTTGAATTATATAAACATTAAATTTTGTAGCTTTTGATAGAATTCTATGAGGATTGCCAAAAAGACAGAAGATAAAGATAGATTCAATGGAATATAAAATATTTACCACCTATAGCAATGAAAATGATATATGCAAAGGCAGCTTTGCCATAATTAAAGAGTATAAAGATAAAGTAATATAGCTTTACATGCAGCTTATAAAGTAGACTTGTGTTTAATGAAATACACTGTACAATTAAGATGAAACTTCAAATTTCAATTTTGAAAAATCTTTGAAAGAAGCTATTGAGCATTTAAAGATAATAACTAGTAGTGAAAAAATATAGAATTTTTCATGAGATTCAAGCAAAGAAACAAGATCTTTAGTTGTAATTTTCTAATGTCTACATAACCTAGAAATCATGTGTGTCAAAAATCACAAGTAAAGATAGAATTAGTCTAATTGGATAATATGAATGGGATTGACCATACTAAAGAAATTTCTCAAAACAAAATATGCAGTGGAGCTACTCCTTTGGTTAGCATGTTTATTCCCTTTCTTTTTGAAAAATAAAATTGCCATACATATTAAATAATATATAATTAAGTGTTATGCATAATATGTTTATGCACATTGCTTAAGAAAATAAATAGGAAATCTCTTTGTAAAAGTTCTACAAAGTAATGTATAACTATAAATTCAAAATGTTACACTGCACAGCCATTGCACATGTTAAATATTCAGTAAATGCCTGAGTTAATGATTGAGACATAGCAGGAAATCTGGGGTGAGGCAGTTGGCTGGAACTGCCACACCGGGACTGTTTTCTCCACTGTGACAATGCTCTAACTGAAAGTCACGTTTCCAATCTGAACAGTATTACTCAACTTAGCAACTCCCTGCACAACCTTACTCACCATTATTTAGTACCAAGTCTACCATTTGAATTCAATGCAAACATTCATCATGATCGATATGGTTCACAAAAGTAAACACTACTTGTACAAATAACTCCTAGAGAGGAGTCTAAACCATTGTTGAGAAAAAGGGAACACCGTTAGAAAAACAGGGCATACTATATGAAGGTGATGGCCCTAGAGGTATCAGTACTCATGCAATTCATCTTTTTTCCATAAAAATAATAGCCAGGGCACAAATGGCAGAGCAACTCTCTCAACAACCTTCCAGCCCTTTCAGTTGACTTCACTATAAGGCAGAAACAGGGAAACAAACGACATTTCTCACACTCCCCTGAGGCTAAATCTCCAAATGTGATTTAGACTCAGATCTTATATAGACTTCGGTAGCAGACTGAGACAGAGGTCCCCCTTCTGTTGTTTCAGAAGACTGGCAGGCTTAGGAACAGTGGTGGTGGTCTTATTTCTAAAACAGCATTAGCAAAAGTTGTAGTGTCTGACCCTTCACTCCATTGCTGTTAGGAGAGTGAATTAATTCTGTCGTCATGGATAATAGCTAAGAAGTTTTAGAGTCAACAGTCGTGGTGGGTCTCTGATCCATGAATTCCTACAGAAGTTACATGAGCTGGCACAAGGAGGTAAGCAGCAGCTTCCCAAATCCTAACCGTAAGGATAATTTGTGCCCCACTTTTGATCAGAGGATACACTTCTCTTATTACACAAGTCCTGCGACTCATTCCTGGAATTGTAGCCCAACATTTCTCCTAATATTGAAAACATTCAGTTCCCTATATTAACTCTCATTCAATTCAAATAAGCTCAGATGGTTTCTGTTTTCTATGTCCGAACCTTGACAAGTACAATAGTCATGTAATACGTATATGGAAGCAGAATTGCTCTGGTTTTATGATGAATTAGTTGCATGCACATGCCCTGAACATGGCATATTCATACCTTTGCTTTGGCTGAAATGCATCATTGCTCCCTTGTAAAATTTGAGAGACAACTATTTGTAACCTCCTCCTCAAAGTAAGATCTGACTTCCTCAAGCAGATTGTGAACTTTCTTATCTCTCCACAGTACATTTATAGGTACCTTTGTTATACTATCTTATGTACATGCATTGCTTCTTTTAATTTGTATACTCCTTTGGACTGGGATATATATAGTAAATCCTCAATAGCATTTGTAAGCAAAAAGGAAATGAAGCATGGATGTGGAGTCAAAATAATTGGACCAAATTCCAGCTTCTGTAACCTGCAACTTAGGTGACCTAGGGCAACTGAATTTCTCTTATGTTTAGAGACACAAACAAAGAAGAACATGAATAAGTTTTGAGTGTGTAATTTTATCACACTTTTAGGTTTTTTAAATTCTTAAATATTAAAAAACCCAAATGAAAATTTTACAACTGAAAAATATAACAACCCATATAAAAAAATCACTGAATGGACTCAAAACATCAATGACAAAAGAAAATCAGTAAAGGAATCAGATCATTGTTTGGAATAGTGGTTAAGATTCTAGTGGTTATACCAGCATCGCATGTCGGAATACCTGGGTTTGAGTCCTGGCTCCGCTCTTGATTGCAGCTTCCTGCTGGCAGACATGCCAGGGAGAAAGCAGGTAACGGTTCAAGCACTCGGGTCCTTACCACCCACATGGGGACCCAATGAGTTCTAGACTCCTCACTGGCCTGGCCTAGTGCTCACTGTAGTGGGTATTTTTTTAAATATCTTACTTAAGGCATACAAATTTAATGTATCTCATAATACAGTTTTAGGAACACAGTGATACTTCCATCCTACCCCCTCTCCCAGCCATGCCCCCACCATTCTTTCTCCTCCCTCTCCTATACCTACTCTTAATTTTTACAAAGGTCTATTTTCAGCTTACTTTATACTCATAAGATTAACCCTACACTTAGTAAAGAGTTCAACAAATAGAAAGAAGAAAAAACCACTGTTCCTCAACAGTAGAGACAAAGGTTATAAACAATCAGCAAATATCAAAATGTTAATTTTACTTCAAAACATTACATTTTAGGGATTCTATCAGTTACCCTGATCTGTGTTGTGGGTATTTGGTAAGATCGGTTTCTCTCTCTTTCTCTCTGCTTTCCAAATAAGTAAAAACAAAATAATCAGTAAAGTTGAAACCACAGCTCAGCAAGAACCTGTGGCAAAATAGCAAAATATACTGTCAAAAAGAACCCAGAAGCAAAGTTTGATGTATAAAAATATTAGAAGCGATAATATATGAAACTTCCAAGACTGAGCAAACGACATAATCAAAATGTCCAGCAAACTCCAAACAAAGTAAGTTCAAGGAAATTTGTAGACAGACACATCATAATCAAACTGCTAACAGCCAAACCAAAGAAGAAATTATGAACCATAAACATGAAAAATGATGCATTACTAATAGAATAATGATTAATGACCATAGATT